TCCCCTGATCTGATTGAGTTCAGTAATATGTTGTGCAGGTATTTGGTGACGATTGTCAACTGCCTCAATATTATACTGATTTTATGTCTCGTCCCGTCCAAACGTAATTTCAGTGTACGTAAATCGACTGTTGTTAGCGTTCAGTCGCACATCGCGTTTTCCTAGCCTTTAAATATGCGAAGAAATGAGACTAAAGCAGGCTTTACGCTTGAATTCATTGCTCCTCTCATTCGTATTTAATATTTAATGTATTGCTGCTTGTTTTAAGTCATCACAAAGTAGTTTCCATCACGTTTTGAGTTGTTAAAATATTTTAGTGCGATCCCTTCGGTCGTACAAACAAATCTGTTTGGGAATGTGACCAAAATGCACGAAAAGAACTCGTAAGGCCTCATTGAAGACGGTCAAAGAGCATATCTGAGTCCAGCTAACCGTATTCATTGAGATCATCACATTGATCTATTTGCATATACAGAACGCCCCTGGTTTGTGCTCTCCGCTGTATTCGCGATTTTTCAACACTGCTCCTAGAAGTCACCGGTTCTTTCGCTGTTCATAGAGCAGTTATTTCCTGATAGCAGAACTGTCGTTCATTAAAGTTGCATGCTGGTCTCCTAAACATCTGCAGTGTTTTGTCCCCCTTACGAGAAGTTCTCCAGTTTGTGTAAAGGATTTATTTTGGACCGGTTTTCCTAATGGACAGACCTCTGTTTTTAACCTTGACGTCATCGGTGGCCTCCTGTGCCTCGAACAAAATACATTCATTCCTTTCGTGATTCTGCCGTTTAATTCTCATTATGCGCACAAGCAGATTTTATATGGAAAGTTATGCTACTTTCTCATGCAAAGCAGTGCACAAATTTACGAAAGTTAGGGAGTCCTCCTGTTTCTAATTCTGGATGCTGCCAATCAGCTATTCCATACTCCACTTATAGATTAGTTGTGAAGGATGGGTTATTGCCAACATTTGACTTTTGGGCGTTAAGGAAGAAATCCGCTTTTGCAGCTGTATTGCATACGGAAGTCGTCAGACGACAAAACCTGCTTTCTGTACTACTCAGGTATCATCTGCATACCGCAGGTCAGCAAGATAGTCGGATATCTTGAACTGCGCCTTCCCTTTAAAATAAAACCTTCGCTTTTACCGGGGTCGGCACTGTTTCGGAGGAGAAACTCCAAAATAATTTTGAATAGCAAAGGTGAAAGCACGTCATCCTGGGGAACTCCACAATTATTTTGGATATCATTCCTTCCACTTTGACTGTACACATGGTTCCTGAATACATTTATTCAAAAATGGTGACATTGCTCTCCGGTTATTCAAAGCATTTCAAGATTTTCTACACGAACGATTTAGTGAATCAAATGTTGATGACTTGAGAAAAGTAACAATTCAGGGTAATTGGAAGATGTAGCGTGAACGCCTTATGTTTTCTCGCTGTGGAATCCATGTTATGCAGCCTGCGCTATAGGCAGAGCCAGACCGAAGACCACCACTCGAAGCTGCTAAGAATATATCCCAGAAGAATATGAGGTTTTGAAGATAGATGAATGGATTTGCACGAAACAGATTTTCCCGCGTTGCGTATAAAATGCTATAACAATCTTCTACGGGTTCTGGAATAGAATTTGCAGCATCACAGCTTGCTTATGATACCAACGTAGGAGAATGACTATAGATTATCAGCTGCTGCGGGATAACGATCAGCCGTTGGACGACAGTATGATAAGTTAAAGGTTCTAGTTGTGAATGTTCACATGCGTATTCACAGTGAAGACCGCATATCACTGTTTGAGACATGGCAGTTAGAAACTGTCCGAAAACGTTCGATTAAGAAACTGTCATTTGAGGTTAACGAGACGAAGGGCTATATAATACTCTTGAATTGCTGTATCAAGAATGATGCATGAATTAATAAGAAAAGGTTGGTACAAGCGTTTCTCTCTATCGTCATGGAAGCGGTGATCTACAGGAAACGGATGCCACAAGTGTCAGCACATTTCATTGTAAATCAAAAGAAGCATGATTTACGCTGTTTCCTCATAGGATGCGCATGTACGGACTTAAAGAAGAGGTGAAGACCTGTTAAAAGAATCAGCAAGACTAGGATTCTGCACACAATCACTGGGGACCCTGAAGTCGCATGACAGTGTTAAAAAATGGCATTGGGTGGAGATGATGCAAAACCTGGGCTTCGCGCACTTCATTTTTAAAGTCTGCATCTTATGTGGGCGGCTTGCAGTAACATATCTGATGTAGTGCAGAAGTGCACATGCTAGTGCGAACTTAACTGCTGATTTGATCTGGGAAAACTCGCAGATAACGCCAGGTTGTAGAATAAACTCGTTATCATCGGCAGGCGCTGACTGTTCAAAGCTCTGCCCCCCCCC